GGGGAGATAAGCATAGAATATTGTAAGAACAAAATATTATAGACAAAGACATTTCTTTACAGGTTTGCAGGAACAGGCAGGACTGAGTTCTTTCTATCAATCAATACTCGCAAAAGAACATTAAAAAGGGTTTCCTGATTGAAATTAATAGTTTAGACTTTTCCTGGCCAAGACCAACCTTTGAGGGTTTTTTTTTTGTTTAAAAAAAAAAAAAAACAGGCAACAGGTCAGAGATGTGTTTTGTACTTAAACACAGAAATCTATATGTTCATCATTGTAGAGCTATTTTCTTTAGATTGCATTATATTGTATAATGTATTTTAAAATAAATTGAATAAAAAATACAATATATATTATTTTAAAATGTAAGCACGGACTCATCTCACAAAACTGCTTACAACTTGATTGTATAATTCATGTCTGATCTGCCTGTCTTTATTAAAACTGAACCGCAACCTCTTTTAGATCCCTGATCCATTATAAACCCATATATAAAATGTATACACACACATACACACACACACACACACACACACACACACACACAAATAGTTTGCAGTTTAATTTTTCTTACTGTGTAACGTAATAGGAAAATAAAAGTTCTGTTCTCGGAATACAACAAGGCATTTTCAAGGCCACAGAGAAACATTTTCATAAACATTGCTTGAAATAAGACGATGTAAAACACAATGTTTTGTCCAGTGACACTGGGATATGTTTTTTTTAAGCTAAATCAAAAGAAATGACTGATCAGTCCAAGTGCTCTTCTATGATATTTTCATACTTCTAACTAACAGGAAATACTCCCAGGTGAGCGCACTTTTAAGATGTCTGTCAGGGATTTCCCCATGTCCGTCTCCTTGTCTCGATAATCACTCAGGCTGCACATAATGTACTCGGTATCCAAAACAAGATAAAAGCTTTTGGGTGCTTTTTAATCAACAGTTTATCTGCATCAGTTTCTACTACAACTGTCTATAGACAGACAGTGGAAGATCAGCCACTGTCTCTGCAACTGTGCTGCTGCCGCCTTCTCTATGAATCAAATTACTTTCAAACACTGTCTTACCTCTACAGCAAAGTAAAGCTCTTACATGCTGGGTACTACCGTCCAAGTTTGAAACAGTAGCAATAATATATGATAATGGGTGAAGTTAAACAATACATTCTATTTGGAGACCTTTCAGAAGCTGGTAATAAATACAAAGGAACATGTGAAGATCAAAGATTGATTAAAGTTGCTAGTCTGTTTTGTTAAAAAACTAAATTTTCACCAAAATATGCAACCGAAAACATTATGTTTCAAATAATAAGCTTACTTAAATAACGTGAATAGATAGAGAACATACAAGGAAAAAAAAGAACATATTTAGAAAGAACAAATACATCCCAGCTTGGACAGTTTTTTTTGTCAGCTACCTGCATGCGTGTATTGGAAGATCTTTGGTGTAGTAGGTGTCTTCTTCATCCTCCTCAAAGTTGAGCTCCCCCAACAATTGACTGGATTTGGCAACAGAGTCATCCATTCCTCCATTGTGAAGACCCTCATCAGGACCATTTATCTGCAAAATACGCAGGAATTAACAAAATACGTATAGGTTTGATCTCATATCTGCGCCTTTATTTAGTTATTTTTTTTCATCTAATAGTTTTTTTTGCCAGCAGTGCATTTATTGTCGTTCAAACATATTTTCCTGAACTCTTCTAAAGCATGTTTACATGTACATAAGTCAATTTTACTCCAAACAAGCTTATCTTTTACTTTTGGATACAATTTAAGTCGTACACCTGTGGAAGGTACGAGCATTATCAAACAAACTCAGCGCTAACAGATCAGCTAGCGGCTGAGGAAGGCGCACGATGAGGATGTGAACACGTTGACAGATTGTCAGCGATGGAAGTAGCGTCATCCTATACAACTGAAAAATTATATACGTTTTCGAGATTGATTTAGGTAGTAACGGATAGAGATAAGACAAGTCGACCAACTTGAAGTATGTAGCCAACGGTCTTTGCTAACGTTAGCTTATGCTAAGCTAAGGAGGCTAGTATTTTAATAATAGCAGGCTAGCAGCAGCTAGCTAACGCCAGCACCGCGCCTTATGGTTAAAAATGAAAGCTCCAAACCTGTCCGTCCAACTGGCTCTGGGTTTGGCCTTGCGTTTGCGTCTGGCTTGGAAGGGTGAAGTCAGTGAAGTCGAACTCGGAGCCCTGAGTGTCCGCTCCGAGCAGCTCCGCTTCTTCGGTGTCCAGGAAGGTGAGGGTCTGGGAGCTCGGCCCGTACGCCTCCACACTCATTTTCGACCCTTAACTTTCGTTTTAGTCCGAGGTTTCCGGTGCTTGTATTGAACAACTAAATAATGAGCGCTTATAATATGTTATGTATCTTTCAGGAAGCGTCACCAAGAGCCTATATTTGAACCGATCAGAACCGCGATAGCTTTAGCACGACAGCAACGGTGACGGACTTCCCTGCGCCGCGCGACGTATGACGAAACTAGGAGATAGCAAGGAGGGAACACAGATAGGTTAGTGAAAGAGCACTCACTCTGTGAAAAATTGTTTCGAATGAACAATAAAGTATAGAAACATGCGCAAAACATAAATTATCAAGTGATAAGTGCGTATTCCCCATCATTTGATAATACTTTCTATTTCCGAGGGTTTGTACATCAAAAGTGTAACTAGAGTTATATCCCTGAGGCTGAAGATTCCTAGGCTTCCATGAAGAAATGCAGGTTTAACCACATTTTTTACTTTCAATATGGATTTGTTGCTGCTAAGACAGTAAAACATTAAAAACGAGTTATTTCTCAGTATAAATTTAGCTGTAAATTAGAGATCAAAAATAGTTTCTTTACTTATAGAGCAATAGACTGTTAAGACCAAAGCAATATTTATGTCAGAATGGTCCAGTCAAAGTCCAAAAATAAATCCATGCTGTATTTTAAAACTGATATTCAGACCTCTGTCCACTCTCTGTGAATTTTAATAATTTTAGAAGCAAATTGTCCAGGTTCTATATGAGCAAATTTCAAATTTGTGTTTGTAACTTGACAAAATATTCAAAGGTTTGAATGGTGTGAATACTTTTACTCAAATGTATAAATGCTCTCAGGAATCACAACCAATAAGCTGCAAGAAAAAACTGCAGAAATATTTTTTATGTAATCTTTTAATTCCTTTATTTTAAAGCCTTTCTTTAACAAGGTGAGATTGAAGACTGTAACAGTGCATAATGACAGACAACATTTTAGAGGACAGTCACTCAAAGCAAAAGAGCAATATTATAGGTATGTAACTAAACACACTAGGAGATACAAAAAAAAAAGTATTTGTGAGGTAGACATACGTCTGTACAGACGGCATCAAAAATACATCTTGGATATGAACCATGGAGAATTAGTAAGGCCTTTTTCAGAACATCAACAGCAACAAGGCACAGGAGAGTCAGGGATCACCTCGAAGGTTAGGCAGAATTTCTTCAGACAGCTTCTCCACGACCCTCACAAATCCAGACAATGAACTTACAAACTCAACTGCAAAGATTTTTAAACAGCATAACAATGGCAGGCTCAATTTGATGGGTTACAGGAACATTAACTTACTTCATTATCCTTTTTTGTGACCACCAATCTTCCTTTAAGTCAAAAATAAGCTGACCTGTAAAAATTAGGGATAATTTACAAAAATTTGTTGAATCTAATCTGTACAAAATTAATGCAGTTAGGAGCTGGGTCCTTGCAGCTTGAATTAAAATGTCTGGTCTACACAGTAAAACCAAGCCTAAGACAGTATAAAGGAAATCCCGTTTGCGAAATAAATCAGAACAAAAAGCTCTAAAGTTCCAGGAAAAAAATAAAACTCACAAAAAGTTACACAAATCTCACATCATCACATTTGTTTGAAAAAGAAAAAAAAAAGAAAAACTAGTTAAAATAGTTGTGGAAAGCTACATGATTCCTTTTAAAGTGACAGGAAAATAGAAGTATGCAACCCCTCAATGTTTGACAAATGCCACTTCAGAACAGAGAAAAGAAATGTACAAAATCAGAAAGTGCAACAGAAATAAAAAAGGCCCAGTTCAGACTGAAAACTCTGCATTTAACCTCAGTAAATCAGTTTCTCTCTTAAAATCGGTAACAACAATATTTCTGACTTACTGAGGAGGACATCAGAAAATTTGGAGCAAAACTAATGGCTGCACTACTATGAGAAAAAAAAAAACATTTGACTTAATTTATTTTCTCTAAACAGATTAAGATTTTTTTTTTTGGTGAATATTTACATCCATAAGCATCTTTGCACAGTTTAATTGAAACAAATTACCTGATCATACAGCATCCTTGAGTAATTTGTTTATTCCCTAATACAGATCTAAAACCACCTCACTTTCCTGCATACAAATGTAATTAAAAGGGTTTTGATTCTTTAATACAGCCAGATGCAGGGGAGTGTTCAATTTCTTGCTTTTTTGTCATGCCTAAATGTTTCAGAATATCAAATGAATTGTATTATTGTAGAGATAGATCAAGAATAAATGCTGTTTTTTTTTTCATGGGTTTTGTAGTACTAATGCATTAAACCCTTTATTAGCTGATCAGGAAGACTTGAAGCGAGGAGGGAAGGATACAGAAAAAATGTAACCCATTAATGACCGTCGTATCTACATTCGGTTTGCCTGCTTTATCACTAACCTATGTGCCACCCAACTTTTTATAAGATTATCTAATTTTTAAAATGAAAAAGATATCCAAAAAGACCTGGACCTAAGTAAAAAAGTATCTTCCACTCACTTTACACAGGGTAGCTTGTTTTTACTAATAATGAAACGATACTTACAATTGTCTTTTCATTACTTAGATTATCTCTAATTAAAGTTAATTTGATAATCTGAAACTCTGAAGGGGAACAAAAAAGCAGGAATATGTAAAGGTATAGTGGAGGATTTTCTTTTTCATAATCAAAATAAGTATTCCTCCTAATTGTCCACCGTTCTGGTGATGTGCTCGCCCCCATTTTCCCTTATTTTCCATTATTTTTGACATAGTGGAAAAATTGCAAATCTTTTTTTTTGTTTGTTTAAAAGTTGCAAACAGCAACTTTTAAACAGTGTGCACAAGGAGAAATGGGTTTAAGAGGGTGGGTCTTTTCAAAAATTCACAAAAATCCTCCACTACACCTTTAAGAGAGCAAGTACTTTCCCCCAGAACCTTATCCGTTTATTACACCTTAAAATAAACCCTTTTGTTTTAATCTGTCAGGAAATATAAAAGCTTTAATATTTTCTCAACAGCTGTGCAGCCATACAAAGAAAAAAGAAAAAAATCATCAGGATAAAACTTTCAGGCAGATTCCACTGAGCGAGATCTGTAAAATTACATTGCACAGCCCAAGGCCAGATCTCAGTGGGGTAGAATTATTTACTTATTTTTTCGGTCAGAACTGGGCCAACAAACTGGGGAAGTCTGAGCTGGAACCAACCCGTTCCCTGATTTAAATAACCTTTGTAAAGGAAGGTAAATTCACAACTTCTTATAAAGAAAACTGACCCAGAAACAATTAAACATCAAAAAGGAAAGACCGACGAGTTTAGAGTCAAAGGAGTGAAGGAAGAAGAAGCTTACAGCTAAACATTTCTACTTAAACCATATATTATGTACATGAACGTCTAATCATTTAGGTGTAAACACCTGCTACCTTCAACATACTGGGATGAAGCAACGTGGAAACGTAAAGAAGTTCTGATGCTACATTTTCCCTAATGTGCCTTCTATAGTCATCACAGTAACCCTAACCCTATAAGGTGCATTAATAGAAGTCACATTTGGGTGTTTAGATCGCTTTTAACGTCACGGTGGAGACTCTTTACATGTAATTCCTTAGTGGATATTTTTCATATTGATAAAACTTCAGAAACCAGGAAGTTTAACAGGATAAAAGTTAAATGTGACCAAAAATTGCTTTCAGTCTGCAACTCTAACGGAAGAAGATCTATGAAAATCAGAATCACACAACCTAATCATAAAAAAACATTTAAATGCTACAAAAAAGCCATGTCTCAGAAGTTCAATATGTCCAAGAAAAAAAAAAAGAAAAAAACAATAAAGAGAAGTTTTGGCTACTTGTGGTCAAGTGCAATTTGTCTTGTGTGGCAGGGGCTGGAGAGGCTGGTCTGATGTCACTTAGTGAATGTGCTGCTGGCAGTGAATCTTCTCCTCAGCCTGGTCCAGGAGCTCCAGCATCTCCCTGATGATGGCCTGCAGCGCACGGCCCAGTTCCTCCCCGCTGTAAGGCTTTCCGAGAGGAGGCACGTGAATGAAGGCAGAGCGACCGTGGCTCAGGTACAGAGATGTGTAGTAGGTGAAGTCACAGAGATATCTGCATAAAACAGCATAAATATAGGGATTTAATCCAGCAAACCAGAACAAAAACAACTGGAAGGCTGAACACACTTTAAATGTTACAATAATTATTTAAAATATACAACTGGATCAGATTTTACGTTTCTCACAGAACATGAGTAACATAATTTAAAGCAGTATGAAACACTTTCCTTTCAAAGAGCTAGACTTCTTTCTATCTTGAATTGACCTTGATCCCTCATTCTTTAGGCCTTTAAATGTTTTATCAAATCTCTGGACTCTGGCAACCTTATACTATTTGACCATGAAAGCATCAGACCCAATTAATGTCCAAAGTCATTAAATAAAGCTTTAGGCAATAAAGAGCATCTTCATCCAACATAAAGTTTCATAAAGCCTGCTTAAAGAGAAAAAATAGAATAAATTAAATAGTTTTGCTCATTTTTAGTTATTTAGTTAAAGTTAAGACTTGATAAAATAAAAAGTCATAAAAATGATGCCACGGTATAAGAGACGGATGATTTATACTTCTGCCCACTCCTTTAAAATGACTAAATAATGTATCTGACTATGATATGTATCACAATATGTTTTAGATACAATTTATCTTGATACAGTAACAAAGGCAATATGTTGCTATTTTTATCATATAATTTAGGGCTGAAACAATTTACTGGATTAATCATTGTTAATCGATTACTCAAATAACTGTCAACTAATTTAGTAATCAATTAATCAATAACTGGAGAATAGAGACTCTAAAACATGCCTCTAGCTGATAGAGGAACACACCTTGAGCAGAAATTATAATTATATAAAAATTTGCAAACATTCAGCATTTTAGATGAAAATATTTTTCATCTGTCAGTATGCTCTATCCAGAACTCAAGTGGAAAGGTTTTTGTTTCTCTTGGTATTTCGTACAAAATCTTCTTTAAGAAATCTTTAGCTATCGGATTATTAATCGATTAATTATGAAAAAAAAAAAAAAAGACAGATTAATCGATTTGCAAAAGAACAGTTAGTTGCAGCCCTAATATAATCCTAGAAAACTGTGCCAGACCTCTGTGTTACTCTGCTGCACACGAGGAGGAGTAGCTGAATAATGGGCTGTGGACTGCAAACTGGCAGCAGAGAAAAAATGCACTTATTTTAAGATCAAATTACTTTATTTAGATTTACATTTTTTCCAGTGAATTTAAGTGTTATATGAAAGTAAGACAATCAGATGTATGTTTGCTTATACATATATGAATTAATTAGATTAGATAGATTAGATTCAACTTTATTGTGATTACACAGGTACAGGTACAAGGCAATGAAATGCAGTTTAGGTCTAACCAGAAGTGCAATAGCAGCAAGTGCAGGATAAATAATGGTTCTATAAATATAGGTCATGGGTTTCTACTGAAAACGTATAGAGATGAATACCATTATAAACAGAATTTTACTAATAGATTTGTCCTATGAATATAATATATAGATAACTAGTGTTATGAGCTAAATTTACAGCTGGATATGTACCGAATATAATTGAAGGTGGATATTACTATAAAAAGGGTTTTTACAGTTATGTACAATAGCATAATATACAGATGGCTTTTACTTTAAAATGAATAAATAAAGTTTGGACAGAAGCTATCTAAATTAAAGTGCAGTGGAAGGTAATTGCATATTACAGTTAAAGTACGGTATTGCAAATGTATATGTAAACAATTGGTACTGTGAATAAGTAGTCGGCAGTGCAAATTAATATTCAGTCAAGGTGAGTAGTGCAAGATGCATGTAAAAAGTTGTCACAATAGTAACAGTCAGGAGTGTAGGTGAACATTACAGTCTTGTAAAAAAAGAATAGCAAAATGGAGGTAGGTGTGAGGAGGGAGAGCAGAGTCTATCAGTGAGGGTCAGAGTTCAGTAAAGAGAAAGCTCTGGGGAAAAAGCTGTTCTTTTGTCTGCTGGTTCTGGTCCGGAGGCACCTGAAACGCCTGCCAGAGGGCAGGAGAGTTTCTTCTTACATCCTAATAGTTTCTTCTTACATACTAACATTACTATTTGATGTTATACTTCTTCAGATTTCGAATTAATATTAAGGCATATAAAAACATTAAAATAATGGAAAGTTTTCCAACTCCAGATGCAGCTAAATCCTGGTCTTTGCATTTAAACATCGGGTCCAATATGGATTCCAAAGGAGATTCAATTCAATTCAAAACTACTTGATCCCAAAGAATTATGGCTATAAGATAATACAATGTGTTTATGGTGGGTTTGTGCAAAAGCAGGAGATGGGAACTTATTCATAACTTCATAGAAATGTTTAAAAGTATTGCAGCCATAAATACATACAACCTGGCAGGTGCTGGGAATGCTTTTCAGACTTTTTAATCCAAATGTTGATACAGTTTGAATGTGTTACACATAGGCATGTATAATCCCCGCCATTGGTTTTCAAATGCAATATGAATAAGGCATTGCATTATGACCATCTGGCTAAACTTCTAAATATTGATTGATTGATTGATTGGATAATTGGCAAATAAGTTTTTCAGAATTCAATATGGATTCAGAGCACCCTCTGAAAGGATTCACCGTTTTTGATTTAAAACTTTGTGTGATTTACATCTTACTGAAGGAATGCAACGTAAATCATGTAGATAACTTTACTGCTATGTTGATGCAGTCGCGGATGGGCATATGAGACTATCAGGAATATTCCCTGGTGGGCCAGAAGTTTAGGACATGAAGTCCTGTCGCCATTGACCTTGTAATCACGCTGTTGTTCTGTAGCCCCACAGTTCAAACAAATTATCTTTGTATCCTGCTCTCCAGCTAGGCTTAACTGCTCAGGGTGTGACCGCCGGGGGGACCTCTTCATGAGCGACTACCAGCAGGCATTGAGCTGCTGAGATCCAAATGTTTGCCCTAAACCCCCTAGCATATGGAAAGAAAAACAAACGCTGTGGTTCTCATAACTCAAGAAGACCAGCAGTGCTGTGACTTCAGCTGATGATAATATTCATCAGCCAAACATTACTTATGCTACAAATACTCAACAAAACGTCAACCCAGCAGATGAAATTGAGTAAATCTGTCAGAAACTCTTTTCTCCCAAATTCCGCCGAGAGTAAATATGTGCATCATCAGTGTTAGTTTGCTAATGCTTTTTTATTTACAGATTTTAGGAAAGCAGAACAATTTAGATCTATACACACTTTACTTTAATGCCAATACAGTAATCGAATGGTTCTGCTATTGTCCTCCGTAATGATATAGGTCTACCATGGTCGTTTATATGAAAGAAAAAAAATCAGTACATTTTTGAGATGCATCATTAGTTAATAAAAAAAAAAAAAGAACCTACACAAAATTACAAAATCCTATTGAAACATTTAAATCAATGCTGAAACTAATTGTGGCCCAAAAATTCAAAATTGAATCAAATTGTAAAGTGCCTAACAATATTCAAAGCTATTCATGATACCCATTGGTAGTAATATTGTAATGCCTGATTAATTAACTAACCTACTATTAGCCTATCTTAAACTGCAACATGTTTTCCCTTTAATTTCAGATTAGGATTAGAGAATTTGTTGTATTAGCAATTTTGAAAATGGCAATTTCCAACTCACAGGGGCACCAGACTTGTTTGCTAATTGCACTCTACAATCAATAGCCCCATTTCCACCACCGTCTGAAAACTGATCCATGCTGAGTTCAGACCAAGCTTGGATCAGGGAACTGTACCGAGCTCGGTTCCTTAAGACTGTTTACACATCACGCTGGTACAGTTCCTTGCCTCCTAGTGACGATCTATGGTACTACTGCTCTCTAGTGGGAAACAAGCAAATCAACATGGCGGCGCCCGTAACATTCAGGGAGTTTGGTTGTAATTGTGATATTTTGTTGCCTGTGGAGAGCCAGGCAACGAAGACAGCTTTTGGTGAACTTACTTGATATTTTACTTTGCTATATTTGCTGTTATAAGTGGGTAAAAAGTAGTTTTAATATGTTTTTAAGTGAGAAAGTCCACCTAAAAAATTTAATTTGTGCAGTTAGTTCATCAAGATTACGATCCTTCAAATAATATGTCAGAGCAGCTCAGACCACCGTACACCCGCGGTGCGCCGTCAACGGCAGCCTTTGGTCCGGCCGCCTCTTGAGAAATTTCAGCTACTGTCGGAGGCGGCCGGAAGGCATTTTTTCATGTACGTAATCCAAACAGCAGGCACCAGAATAATAACAGTGAACATTTTTTCCAGCAGGTTTTAACATTTTAAGTTAATTTAGGTATTAATAAACTGTTTCAGTAAAGTGATCCTAGCTATCTGCATTAGCAGCACTGTGTCTGTCTCCCTGCCAGCTCCCAGATCAGCTTCTCTGATTGGTTGATGTGGCGCTTCGAGCAGCAGAAGTTAAATTTTTCCCAACTCCAGCATCTGATGCTTGTGCAGCACGTCAGATGCTCTGAAGCTCATGAGCCGCTGCTTCAGGTGCTCAGACCCATCAAGATGAGCTGCTCCTGCAGCTCAAAATGTGCTGCAGGACCTTTTGCGTCAATCATTAGCTTGGATGTAAACTAGCTGCTTCTGCTGCCTCTACCGCGTGCCGTCTAAACGTAGCATTATCTCGGTTACCGTTCTCGGACCGTTCTAGGCACAGTTTCAAAAGGGTAGTGTAAATGGGGCTAATGTTCAACAAGAAATGATATCCAGCTCAACAAGCTAGTCTTTTTAATAAAAAAGTTAAGATTAACAGTGAAAAAAATGTCTTGCTTTAATAAGACTTTTTTTCTGCAAACACATATATATATATATATATAGGGATTATTTGTTGCTTATGGGTATCCCTTAGAAGAATAGTAAGAAAATCCCAATTGCAATTTTTTGTAAAGAAAAATAAATAAACAAGTAATTCACAGCCGTACTTCAGATGTCCTCAGCCATAATAAATCTAGTCAGTTTACTAAAACCCAGTTTGTGAAGCAAATAGAATTAAAATACAGATAATCCTGTTGATGAAGTGAATTTTTTTTTTTTTTTTTGCATTTATCTAAACAGAATAAAAGTAAGACAAAAGAATTAAAAACAACAATAGAAAACATATATATATATAAAAAAAAAAGTGAGTTACCTTCCAGCATCTTTGGACACAGATACAGCCACCCCCAGCCCGGATGCAGTTACTCTCTTGCAGACTGACTCCATGTCAATAACTGAGTTGATGCAGTCTGGGCCTCCCACAATGCAACACTGTGAGTCCGGACAGAAGCTGCTGTTGTCCAGGCCTTTGTAGCCGTGATTTCTGCCACACTTCTCCAGTGTCACAGTGGTGGCCATCCCTGAGACTCCGACATGAACTACCAGCTGAACAACAAACACACTGTTAGAAGAACTGAAACAGCTTCCCATCCTTCTCTGCTAAACCCTTATAACTTTAGTCTTAAACATAAAATTGTCTTCATACATGACAAAACCAAATCATTGTGATGACTTCAAGAAATAATTGGAGCTAACTGTGTTTATGTTGTTTCAAGGCCACATTTGCAGGTAAACGTATTTCAATTTGAACAGATAAAATCTTAACCAGTTAACCTAACATTTAAGACACATGCGGCACAAAGTTTAACCTTTAAAAACCAGGTCATGTGGGATGGTAAATGATTATCTTAGTTCTTACTCGTGGTTGGTACTGTTTCAAAAACTTTGGAACCATGAGCTCGACTTTCTTGTATTCCACAGGAACCTCGTATACATGCAGGTCAATGTTATTGCCCAGTCCAAGCTTCTTCATTTCCTAAAAAAAAAAAAAATAAATAAAAGGATTTAAGAAATGCTTTACTGTTAAAGAAATTTAAAAGGGGATCAATTACTAAATGTGATTTTTTTTAATCATCCTGTGGCAAAACAAAAGCCCTGTACCTAAATTATCCATCGGTAATTTGACTTTCAAGGTAGCAGACATTTTATATATATATAAAAAAAAATAAACCTCCAGAAAATAAATTTTCTTTCTTAATTTATTAAAGATGTACTTTAATCAATGACAGATTTGGTGCTGGTTCCTTAGTGAACAGTTCTTTTAAAGCTCAGAACACTAATTATTGATGATCTTCCTTAAGAACTACAGATAACATATTTATTTAGTTTCTGCATGAATGAAAGGTGAATGTCAAAAGTGGCAAAGCCTTCACTGAAAATCCGCAAATATAGTAAAATCATCTATGACTAAATAAAACTAGCATGAATTATATTATGCCTTCTCTGGATCCATTTACAATAACAGCTACATCCAACTTCATATATGTGAGAATAAAAAGACTATTAATTTATTTTACCAGTAAAGAAGCTGTCATGTTGTAGCAATGATCATTACTTATAATTTTATCAGATTATATTATAAAATAAGTGTAGAGCAGAAATTGAGGCTAGACTGCTGTACATTAAATCCTGATTATGTAATCTTTTCAAACTAAAACAATTAAATGTGTGGTTATCTTAAGCCCTTTTTTAGCACCTTAAGTTAGCATTTAGTTCAGTTAACATTGGTTTCTGTGCATGATCCCGATAAAGTTTGCGGTTCTATAACCGTACAAACATTACCCAATGTTCTGTGATAAATAAAACTGGACCCTTACAGTCTAAGAAAGAGGAACTTTCCAGAAAAGTAATGTTCCAATTCTTGATATTTAAAGCCATCTTCATCTAAACGAACAGCCAACACGATTCTCCTTACAACATCTTTTATGCTTTGTGTTGCAAAGCAGGTTCAACAGAAGCCACCCCAGTTAAATGAATATTAAAATTCATAGTACATAACATTAATGTTGCAATTTAACCCATACTAGTCTAGCAGGACTATAAATGTATTTAATGTATTCTGGCCTACAGGCCAAAAGAAGACTAAAAAATACCAAAAATGTATTCAAGGATTGGCAGAAAACACAAGCGACCTGAAAAAAAACTAATTTTAACACCAGACACTTCTCGATACAAATTGTTTAATAATAATCAAATACTTTAAAAAACAACTAGACCCAACACATGGTCACTGACATAGGCAACATTTAAATTGATAATTAAAGACCTTAGTTCACCACCAGCTCAGTGGGTCTTCAGCTTAAAGACCCAACATCCACACTGATGAGTGTTTCAAGCTGCCTGTAAGTGCCGCTTTGATCCAGTCAGAGACCATTTAAGACTAGAACACACCGGTTGCGTACGACTTTTTGCCTAACTAGGAAGGGTGGGCAGACCTGCACAGATTTTCTTCACCTCTGTGCCAAACAAATTAAAACCATTTCATCAATTGACTTGGACAGATTATGAAGAGTAATAAAAAAAAAACACCAGCACATTTTATAAAGCAAAGCAAGTCATTTCAGCATCTCAAAGATAATGTTCATATGCTTATAAAGAGATCTACTTCTAAAGAAAAGAAAAACAGCAATAAACGTCGGTGGTTTATATCCTGAGTGAGGCAGAGAGGTGATTCTCAGAAAGCAATTTGAGAAGTTTATCTTTCTTTTTTCATAGAGGTGAGACAGATATGCCACGCTTACCTGCACTGTGACCCTCGTCATTTCATTTTTTGTTAGACTCAAACAGGATCACTGTTTTACTATATCAGTTTTTTCTCCTCCTGAAGTTTTTTTTCGAGGACAGTTATAAATTCCACTTTCTGTCCCTGGTTATTTTTGCGAGGCTCAAAGAGCATTGCGCTACTTTATCAATTTTCTGTCCTCCTAAACTCTTATCATGGGTAAAGTATTCTTTTTTAATGTTTCATTCATTGTTTTTGCACGAGTCCGTCCCGCTTACAATAAACTCCAAAACTGATTCTTTCCTTGTGCGATTAACAGATTTTATTTAGTATTTACCCCCAAAGCGGATGTGTTTTACTCTGTAACCGCAGCTCTCTCTTCCTTTCACAACCATGAAATTGGCGCTGAATTGCTGAGTAGTACAACCAAAATCTCAGTCAGAGCTATGCCCCATTGCCTAAAATCGTGGTGGATGTATGGCTGGACGATATACAAAAAAAGCATTTCAATAAAAAAATGCATATTGATCGATATTGATAATTATCTAAAAGATTCTAGACACTTATTTCTCTGGTTTCATTCTCTGTCTATGTAGTGAACTGAGAGGCTGAGGTAGCACTTGGATGTGCGACTTGACCAGAGCTCCGATGGTGTGGCGTAGTGAGACACGGAATGCAGATTATTTTACCATGATTATCTGAACTCATTGCACAGATGAAGGAGTGCTGGGTTAGAGAAAAACTTGCAGCCCAGATTTTCATATACCGGTATATATAAAGAAAGGTTTTCATCGCTATGAAGCATGTTACTGCATGGGTGATGTCCTTATGTTGCTTGGATGCTTTGTCATATTTATCACAAAGGGGGAAGCCCAGTTTAGCTTGCTTTGCCTGCTTTGTTTCCTGAAGATTCATCCGATGACGTAGAACCATGCCGGGGCCGACACAGCTCGTTCTCCATTGGGTGTTAGCGGCTTTGATGATAAAAAAAGTGCGTTGTGTTATCAGACTTTGCCAGTTCCCTGCAACTTTTACAAATCACTGTGGTTTGTTTTTTGTATGACTTGCAATAGCCGAAATATTGTCAAACTGGCGAGCTACTAAAGCCCTTCTTTGGAACAATTTCCTCCGCCTCTCCTGCTGCGTCATCTTCACCTGCTCTGTGTTGTGGTTTGAGAGACTGGTGCTTAGTGACGGCGTGCCCAGGTCCGCGTTTGCAATTGTTTGGGAGGAACTGATGACTGTAGCATCAGCCTACATGATAGATAGACGTGTGGCGCAATAGAAAGCTGCAGTTTTCCTTTCTTTTCATTGTAGCCTATCAATCGATGTATATATTGTTATTGAATTATGGTCTAGCCCTAGTTAGGTGTGATCATCCCCGTTCACTTTTAATGAGCACTAAAATCAAATTCAGTGTGTTCTGGCCTAAGATTTTGTGTCTAAATGATTGCTACTGCAGATATTTTTCGGATTACATCCAACGGAAAGGCTTTTAGTGAATTTCTATGGTTAAAAAAATTAAACCTAAATTAAAAACAAGAAAGCTGGACTGATTTTTTTGTTCTATAACTTAAAACCATTATCTTTAGCTCAAGTCCATCTGCTTTAGTTTGTATTCAGATCTGAAACTTTTTCTATCCCTATTTGTCCACTTTCAGTGTTATTTTGAGCAATTAAACCACAAAATATAAGGTTCAGGAACCAAAAAAAAAAAGCAGTAAAGTTACTAATAAAACATTAATAGATCTCCAGGCATATTTCTTCCGACTCCAGGTATCAGAAGAAATATTATCAAAGATCACTTCATGTCTTAGAAACTTAAAAATCTATGTTATGATTTTGCCTTAATATATCAGATTTTTTTTTTATATCAATACCAGGTATTACAGCACAAAACAGTTTAAAAAAACCAAAAAACTTCTATTTGATGATAACCTTCATGCAGCTCAGTCACATCTAAGTTTTTACTTTCTGAAAGGATTCTTGTAAAGTTACTGCCGTCCCAGATTACCCATCCCAAGGTATCCATAACTCATAAACAATGCTGCTAAGCAACAAAGATTTTATCATAAATTTCATAAGGAAGACAAATCTGTGTCAAATTCACAGCCAGCGATCCCCCTCAGTCTCCATTTAGGTCAAGTCAACCACCCCACCACCCCCAACACACACGCACACACACACACAGTAGTATAAAAGGTCATGTCTGTGACCCTGCCTCAATGCAGCCTTTTGTTGGGCTCTAATATCCTTATCAAGTCCGTCTAGACACCCTGACAACCACCATCATCCCCCACATAAAGCCTCCAGCAAACAGCGCTGCACAGTGTGAAGCCGGCCGGGCGACGGCCATTAAAGTGTCACATAACTGTCTGCCATACAAACAGCTCCAAATGTGAACAAAAACCTGTGATACAACATGTAGAACTTTACTAGCATCAAGTGTTGTTATTGCATGTCCGCACTAAGAGAGACTCTGCAGGAAACATTAAAACCATATTCAATTCTCATTTTCCGTGTCCATTTACCATTAAATAAATAATTGTAATAATGTTCAATAAATCAAATAGATGAGGGGAATACCTGCACTGCTACCCAGCTGGCGTTGACAGTGTGTTCTCCAAAGGGTCCAAAACCTGCAAGAGACCTGATGTTTATTTTATCCATTTAAGACTATTATCATCACTGTGTAAAAGTTAAAACACTTTACTTGAGGATTAACTACTGGGAAATGATTTTGTAAATATTATTTTATTTAATTTATAGAAGGAAAGCGTAACCATTTTACCGTTAAAATATTTTAGGCCTTAAGATTTTAAAAATAAAGTGTTTTCCTTTTAATGAACTGGAAACTAGATATGCTTTTCTAAAGTTTATGGGTAATCATTATTTTGTAATGCTCTGAATTATTAAAAAAAAAAAACTTAAGAAAAACATCTCAAGAGCTAATGACTACTCACTCAGACTTGTTTATACAGGGATCTATGACTGACCCCCCTTTCTCCACCACCCACCCCAGGGTCAGTGGGTCCCTGGGGGTTGGGTGGAGAAAGGATCAGTCTGTCTGACAGGCTGCTGAAAAGGAGCAGAGCGAGGGGCCAGCAGCTGCCAGCCGGCCTGCTATTGTGCAGGAACCGTTCGCAGGCAATCGACACGTCTCTGCAACCTTTTGTGTCTGACTATACAAAATCTCAGTCTGGTTCTAGTTTGAAAATGAATTATTAGGACTGTAAATATTGCAATATTTCTTTACAAAACAATCAAAAACATGTATGTTTTACTTATTAGAATCAGTAGTATCTTCAGAATACTTCCGTTTGTTGAATAGTGACTGAACAGATGTTAAAGGAAGAAAAAGCTGCTTGAAATTAAGAGGATTTAATCCTCTTAACTCCACTGTCAGGCAAAATATTGCAGGTAAAAACAAACATGGCAGGACATATTTTACTCATAATGATTTTATTTATGAGTGATTTCTCCGGCCATAAAGAGGACAAATCATCAGATAAACCCTGAAAAATCAAAATAAAGTTAAAAATAAGACCAACCAGAAATGTATTTGAAAACTGCCCATTCAAAAAAAATGTTTATATTTTCTTGATGTCGACAATTAGTAATAAAATATAGCTATTATTATTGATAAAGATCACAGATCACTCTCTAACTAATGTTTAAAAATCGAGATAAAGTCATTAAAAAAAAATAGTATCGCATTATAGAGAAATAAACTCTAAGAAACAGTAAACCTAGAAAAACACAGATCTAATAGTTTTTTTTTTTTTTTTTTAAACAGCAATAATAATTTGTAGACAATTCTGCCCTGTTCAATGTGGACGTTTATAAAGAGACAATACTGAAATACTCAGCAGCTGTCTAGAAGCATGTAAATAACTGCAAGTATAAACCAAAGATAACAAGAAAGCGTTTGGTTCAGGGTGGAAGTGAAGCTCAGGAGAACCTGACGCCATTAAGGCAGAGCAGCTGTCATCTTCGCCAACTTTTCCTTTACTTTATTCCCCTGCCAGAGCCTCCATGAAACAAAACTACTAAAACAACATTGAGATGAAACACCAACCTGTCACCAACACAGTCCGGCTGTTGTTATCCATTTCCTAAAATGTCGCCTAGAATCCTCAACTAACTCGGTTTGTAAACTGAAGCAGATCCGCACAGAGAGTCAAAGCCCCCCTAAGCTGACTGCTCCTTCTGCCACAATCAGAGGAATCGAGAAATCCTCCTTACGTCTACGTGCTACGTCAAAAGCTGCGTCAACACGTCGCGTTCTTCTTCTTCTTCTTCTGTTTTTGGTAAGCGGTTGCCTTGTCAACCTTTGTTAGTTATTCCGCCTCTCACTGTACTGGAGTGCGAACGAAAGATAAGAAATAATAAATAAATAAAAATACTACTGCCGTTGGCCCTTATTCAGAAACTTGTTTTAATATTTAACATAGCAAATTTTGTACTTTTGAAACGGTGCTTCTTTCCTATATAAGCTTTAATTATTTACACTCTCCAGCTGAATAACATATATAAACATTTTATTTGGGTGCTTATGCTATCTTAAACAGTTTAATTTAGTCCAATATTTTATATTCGGACATAATTCATTATTCTTTATTCCTGTCCAGTTTCTTAAAATGTTCTTAAATGTTTGTATATCCTAAAGATACTGACAAAACTCTTTAATTGTCAGAGTCCAGTAAGTAAATTAGAGCGAGAGAGAAAATTCAGGCATCTGCAAAATGCAGGTTGCAATTTTGAATTCATTATCTGCCCTAATGTGCCATAACTTTATAGGCAAGACAGGTACAATTGTCTTGGATAATATTAATAATAATATTAATAATGATAATATTAACAATATTAACAATAATAATAATAATAATAATAATAGTGCAAAGGGGAATAGTGCAAAGGAAATGGTAAGGATGACGTCTAGATAGTCACAAAAACAAGAAATACGGTCAAGAAAAGAAAGAGGTAGAAGTTGTTCAGATGGGAGTGAAGTAAGAGAGGAACAAAGTAAAATGACAAAAACAAATGCAAACCCGATAAAACAGGTGCTGGGAGGGCAAGCAAAGGGGCAAGAGGAGGAGAAAGGGATAGTTGAATTTAAACAAGAAGGAGAACCCTTACATCCAGTTAAACTAAAAAGAGCAACTGAGAAGGAAATTGGATGTCGAACAAGAAATTAAAGAAGGATGAGTTATTGATGCAACAAGGACAAAACACAAAATAGACGGAGTTGTTAAAGACACTATGGCAATAATTTTACCTCTTTAGAATGTGGTTCTAGGGTCTGTGCAGATTGGTTACATAAACTTCAGGGTTAGAGAATACATTCCTGATCCAAAAAGGTGTTTTGTTTGTCAAAGTACGGAGCACATAGCAAAGCTGTGCAAAGTGTGTGGAAGTGTGACAAAAATGCCACACTTCCACACACATGTTGTAATTGTGAAGGAGAACATAGTGCAGCATATGGTGGATGCATAGTAAACAGGGAAACAAGACAAGCACAGAGAATAAAAATATCAAGAAGATTCAAGTCAGAAAACCAATGACTCACAAAGTAAAAAGAAGAAAACCATTTTCAGAACAACAGATGAATGTAATGTATGTAAGCACTAATGTAATGTAGATAAAAATACAATGATGGTTAAAAAAAAAAGATAACTTTGTGGTATCTATTTGTCAATTAATAATTTTACAGTGCACATTAAAAAGAAAAGTTCATCAAATTAAAACAATTGAAGAAGTAGCAGGAAGGTTTTTATGACATGAAAGATGCAAATTCACTAACTTTTGAGTTCAGCTTGATATTACAAAGAAAAAAGGAATAATTGAAGAAAATTGTCATACATACAATTCAGTGGAAGTCTCATAGCAAATGGTCAAGAATTTAAAAAATATAAAAATGAATTAGAAACACCTACAGATGTTTTATGTGTCCTGTAGACTAGGTTAAAACCATCTTTACATTTAAAAATTCAGTTACAGTTCAATCAGAAAAGACAAAAATAGGAACAGCAATGGAGGAGGTTGTGCAAACTTCATTAAAGATGGATAGGCAGGCATATAAAGAGAATCATGTACCTGGAGAGTATGAATGTTTCAGTGTAGAAATGAAAATTAGAAGAAATTGGCAAATATTAGGATTCACAATTTTTTTAATCCATGCAAAATGTTAGAAAGTGAGGTATTTAATAAAATTTCGAGAAAGATAAAAATAAAATACATTTGGTATGGTGACTTCAGTGCATGTAATAGCTTATGGTGAAGCAGACCGGCAGACAATAATGGTGGTATAGTGGAAGAAATAATCGATGAAAGGTCACTGGTGTCTCTTAATAATGGACAGGAAATAAAATGCATAAAAGTGCTGTGTCATGCCCTGATTTAACTTTAGTATCCAGCTCAATCATTAGTTCTTGTGAGTGTGGTGTGTGGAGAGAATCCACAATAGGAAGTGATCAGTTTCCAGTTAGCACAATTATTAAAGATAAGTTATTTAGAAAAGATTAAATAAATTTAACAAGATGGTGCTTTAATAAAGCTAATTGGCATTTTTTTTTTTCAAAATGTGTATGATCAAGCAAGTCATTAAGTGACACTAAAGGGAAATGTTGATGAGCGCACTAAACAGGTAACGGAACATATACTAAATGCTGCAGTTGTTTCAAAAGCTTGTAAGACAATCAAAGAGGCTAAGACAGAAACATGGAGATAGCTCTTCCATAGAGCACAAATTAAAGTTATGGTGGAGGAGGTTCTTTTTCCTGGTGGATCATCTAAATAAGTGGTCCTCCTAATTGTCAATCATTCTGGTGAGATGTTTACCTAAGTGCTGTCCTATGTGCTTGTCCCCATTTTCACTGGTGTTACTGGTGTTGAGTCTGACATAGTGGAAAAATTGCAAATTCTTTTGGAAAGTAAGCTTGAGCGATACAAACAGCAACTTTTAAAAACAGTGTGCATGAGGAGAAATGGGCTCATGTATGCTCTCGCACACAGTCAATAGACGTTTCCTCTCGGGAGTGGTAAACAAAGGATGAAGGAAAGGTGGCAAAAATAATGGGAAGAAGAAAGGAAAGGATGATGGTTTTATAGGATTCAACGGAAAGTCGGAGAAATGAGGATAGTAGAAGGAAGCAGAAGAGAGGAAACAGTTATTTCAGGACTTAGATTTCTGCATACAGGATTTAATAATACACTATTCAAAATAGTAACATATGTCAGGCAAATGTGAAGTTTGTGGACAAGATGAAACAGTAGAACAAGTAGTGATGTATTGTAAGAAGTATGAAGAAGAAAGAATTTGGTTAGAGACCTAAATAAGGAGAAAGTTTAATTGGATTTGATATATATTCTGCAGAAAAAGTAAAAGAAATTTTTTTATCAATATTTATTTCAATATTTAAAAATAACAGGAATAATTAGGAGGATTCAGTATTTTTAAAGTAATATTATAGATAAAGATATATAGATAAATAAATGTGTCTTTAGGAATAGGGCCATTCTGACTCCCCACCAGTTGGTGGCGGTAATGCGCACCGAAAAAGTTGTTTGCCAACCGCCATCAAACGCGACAAGAAAAGACAGTAGGGGGCGGTATGCACATGTCAGTTGTTTGCAATTCGCCGATCAAAGGAAAGAAGAAGAAGAATTGCAGGTGCTAAAATCGTGTTGTACTAAGCAAGAGACAGAAAAAATATAACGCCAATCAGCCATTATGGTGAGTAAACAACAAAGAGGTTTGAATGGTGGCTTGCTTTGATTATTTAAAAAGTAAAGCTTCAGTTCAGTTCGTAGTAACCGTCTTTTCTGGTGTGTAAATCAGTAAATTGTTGAGACGGCAGCTAGCCTATATTAGCATCTTAAGCTAAGTTTGGTTTTCGTTAAGCGGAGAAGCGGGTTTTCTGTAAATAGGTGTCTGCAATTTTATAAATATTAAGTGTAGTTCTATAAAGTTTATATTTCAGATTTGTAATATGTATTTTACACGAGTCTCTAGACATTAATGGAAAAACCCGTTCTCTGTGTTTTAAGCAGCAGACATATAATATTCTTAATTGTATCTTTTTTTCCTTTTTCATCAGCTTCCGTTGTCTCTGTTGAAAACTGCTCAGAATCATCCCATGGTAAGGAGATGCAGTGCAGCAATACCTCTGCAGCATTTAATGATTATCCATAAATGTACATCTTTGGCTGTGAAAAACCAATGGATTGGGCTGTTTCTATGGAGTATAACACAAACTTCACTTAATTATCAGCCCTTTTTGTAATCATATTAGCTATATTTTGTGTTCTGAGGATTGTTTATTCACATGATGATGTTATTAATGAAAGTCAGCAGTGTCTTCAGCTGACTTTCATTCGGTTTGTGTTATTTGCAAGACAGATCTGGATAAATTCTCTTTCTTTTATGTTCTAGTTGGTAGAGCTTAAGAATGGGGAAACCTACAACGGTCACCTGGTGAGCTGTGACAACTGGATGAATATAAACCTGAGAGAAGTCATCTGCACGTCCAGGGTAAAGCAATGTGTCATAAACATATAATTTATGTAGATAAGAGAACAAGACTAGTTATGTTCACACTCGCATAAGTAGTAAACTGATGATTTCTATCCATAAACTGTTATTTTAAATGGTAAATGCCCTGTACGTGTATATCGTTTTTTCAAGTCAGAGGACTTGACCAACGCGCTCAACACTGCATCCAGTCAGTCACCCAATCACACACACTCACACTGATGGTTGCAAGTTACATTGTAGCCACAGCTGCACTGACAGAAGTGAGACAGCTGTACACTTTGGCCACCAGTACCTCTGACCATTAGTTTTAATCCAAACACTATCATTTGATCAAGGAAATTTACACATGTAAACATAGAGAAAGCACTGCATCCATGGCAATCAGTGCCCTGATGTCTAAAATAAGAATGGTTAGGTTTTTACAAGTTGATTCTTAAATTTTAGAGGTTGATAAGTTTGTCTGGAATCACTGCTTTTTGATATGTTTAAGTCTACACTACTACCTGACCATGACATCGTTTTTTTTTTTTTTTTTAAGTGTTTGCTTAAAGATCAATATAGTTAGGGAAATGTTAACCCTTAAAGAGATGTATAAAGCCGATTTCAGTATTTTGACATTGACGTCTTAAAAAAAAAATCCAGCTATTATTTGGTGCAGGACTGGTACATGACATTCTTTCGGTAGAACAGCTGTTGTATGCAACTTTGTTTTATTTTATTCACATTTTAACTATTAAGAAACTGCCTGTATCTTTGTAAAATCTTAAGTCTGTAAACAGAAACAGAAAAAAATCTTTGAACCCACTTAAACCTATTTCAAAATACCAAACAAAGTTCCTCTATAAAGGCTTGAAAAAAAGAAACGTACTTATCTTGTTTTCGTCTTCATGTCTCCAACTTCCAAATGTTTTCAGGATTACTGAGCTTTGTCTCTTTCTCATAGTCATTGTTGGCTATTGTCTTTATATAGAACACAGAATTTCTTTGTGATGGATAGTTTGTGGTTGAGAAATAAAGGAAGACTCTCATTTCCCTCTCACAGGATGGAGACAAGTTCTGGAGGATGCCTGAGTGCTACATCAGAGGCAGCACGATCAAGTACCTCCGAATCCCTGATGAGATCATCGATATGGTGAAGGAGGAGGTGATGTCAAAGGGGCGCGGGCGTGGAGGATCCCAGCAGAATAAACAGCAGGGCAAAGGAAGAGGAGGACCTGGCCGAGGTGAAAAGAAGCTCTTTTTCTTGATTGTTTTCTAATCCATAAATATACAGCTTAAACCTTTTTTATTGAAAAATGCTCTGTCCTCTTTCTGATGCTGATACTGAATACACTGCAGCTGTGGTGCAGGTGCCATGTAGAACCTAAATCATTTAAATCAATGTGTATGCTCGCATCAGCCTTGGTTGTAGTGCTGATCTGGTAACAGAGGTTGTGTTGCTCAATGAAAAGATTTAGAAAGTTTGACCTGTCACTGCTGCGACGTCTGCATCAAGGTCCTCATGGATTTTGCTAACCAAATAAGAAAAGCCCGGCCATAGATGGTAAGGGTTAACTAGTCCATTGTAAACAAAACATTCATCCATGCATTTTCTTCTGCTTCATACGTAGGGCTGGGTATTGTTCAAAAATTTTAGGTTCCGGTACCAATACCGGTACCTTCACTTCGATACCGGTTCCTGAACAATACTTTTTTCTATACCAGTTTTATAATATCAATTGGAAGAAAAAGAAAATTACACAACATAAAAAAGTACAAATCTTGAGTTTTATTTTAAGCTCTGATTTTTCCATTTACATTTTTCCTCTTACATAAAAAAAAAAAAAAAATCAGTGTCTAATATTCACTGTTACATTGTGAGGACCTTTTTACTCAGCAGTTTTCCTTTTTTAAAAATGACCATGTCTG